CAAGCAATTAATAACTTATTTTAATACATTTTTGCAGTATGTGATAGCAGCAGGTGTGGTCCCTCCTGGCTGCATCACAACTGTCGCCCTCTGCAGGACACTAAATCAGAAGACACTTTACTGGCTTCTGTGATCAGTTCACACCGCAGTGATTATAGATCAGAAAAGATCAGACCTCAGACCTACAACCAACAGATTTGATATCTCTGCAATCACACTTTAGCAGTCGTGAGATCAGGTGGTTAAAAAAGTGTATAGAGTGTGTGTGAGGAGTTTTACAGCCTTAAATAAGGCATATGTTTATATAAGCACTTTTGTGGACACTCAAAGACTCTTCACATGTCACTATTCCTTCACTCCATACACAGTGGTGATAAACTACTATTGTAGCCACAGCTGCCCTGGAACAGCCTGTCTGAAGCAAGACAACAAGTATGTGCCATTGGCCCCTCCAACCACCAACTATTCACGCACACGCGCACACACACACACACACACCAGACTCATTCTAATGTGGGTGAAGTGTGTTGCCACAACAACAGCTTAGCACTTTACAGCCGCAGCCGCCCCACTGTGGCACCTGGTGTTCACAGAGGTCTCACATCATATCACTAACCAGATGCTGCCCTGCTTAGCTTTAGAGGTCTGTCAGGATCTGGCTTTCGCATGTAAGTTTGGCCACATGAAGCACTGTAGACATGTCATACTTGATGGAGCTGAAGTTGGCTGAATGACAAAGGTTTCCTCACCTGCTACATTAGCGCCATACAATAAAAAAAAAAACGTCAGTGAAGTCAAAAAAATAGTCAACCATTGGATTCCAGAGATCCTGATGTCCAAATTGGTAAAGCTGAAGTTGGCTGAATAACAGTGTGTTTATGGTTAGTAGTTTTTACATGAATGCTCAATTTCAGGCTCAGGCCCATGGGCCAAATTTGGCCGCAAGACAATTTTAGTGGCCCCTGAAATTATTTTAAATGATCATTATTCCAGTAACTTACAGCAGCGAGTAAGTCAGTGTAAACGAGACACTACGGCATGTTATACATCATTTTAAAGCTTATTTTCTCAGGAAAACAACCATATATTTGAATCTGTTCTAAAACTACTATTTTAACTAATTAGAAGTTAAGTTTGGTCAACAATATATTAAATTCTCTAATATTATTATCTCTTGTCGACATTTGGCAGAGAATCAAAACCTGCCAGAAATGAATATTCAAACTCATGTCGAATAAATGAATTTGCCAAATACAAAAATAGGTAAAAAGAAAAAAGGATGATAATAATTTTGGCCCCACTGGTCTAGAGCTCAGTTCTTAATGAAGAGTAATGTCTAATAAGTATTCAGAGCATTCCTTTTCTCTCTGTCTCTGCTGCACTCACACTTCTGCAGCGATGTTTTGATTTGACTCTTGACAAATAGCAAAAGAATGTGAGCGTTGTCCTTGGAGACGGCGGAGGTGAAAGCAGACGCTGAGAACACACCGGCGGCGGGAAATTGCTTCAGAACATACGTATTGAGACCGTTTATTTTGCGGTCGGGAGAAGCTACACGTGATTTAAGAGTTTAGATCCAGGCTGATTGTAGAGAGAGACCAGAGAGAGAGACCAGAGAGAGAGACCAGAGAGAGACCATAGAGAGACCAGAGAAAGACACCAGAGAGAGAGAGAGACCAGAGATAGACCAGAGAGAGAACAGAGAGAGAGACCATAGAGAGACCAGAGAAAGAGACCAGAGAAAGAGAGACCAGAGAGAGACCAGAGAAAGAGACCAGAGAAAGAGACAGGAAAGAGACCAGAGAGAGGTAGACCAGAGAGAGAGACCAGAGAGAGAGAGACCAGGGAGAGAGAGACCAGAGAGAGACCCGAGAGAGAGACCTGAGAAAAACCAGAGAAAGAGACCAGAGAGAGACCAGAGAGAGACCGCAGCACTCTTCTCGCGGAGTGACCTCAGTCACTCCTCTGACTTTAATTTAAAGGTAACCGTCATGTTTTACTATCGGTTACATGTTGTTAGAACACACACACACATACACACACATATACACACACACATACACACCTGAAGCAAATAAGAAGCACGCGGAAAAAAAAAACAAAGCACAGTCGCACACATAACGATCGGCGAAACAGTGGCAGCAAACTGTGATAATGTAGTGTGTGTAATGAGGGACCTGTGATAATGTAGTGTGTGTAGTGAGGGACCTGTGATAATGTAGTGTGTGTAGTGAGGGACCTGTGATAATGTACTGTGTGTAATGAGGGACCTGTGATAATGTAGTGTGTGTAGTGAGGGACCTGTGATAATGTAGTGTGTGTAGTGAGGGACCTGTGATAATGTAGTGTGTGTAGTGAGGGACCTGTGATAATGTAGTGTGTGTAATGAGGGACCTGTGATAATGTAGTGTGTGTAGTGAGGGACCTGTGATAATGTAGTGTGTGTAGTGAGGGACCTGTGATAATGTAGTGTGTGTAGTGAGGGACCTGTGATAATGTAGTGTGTGTAGTGAGGGACCTGTGATAATGTAGTGTGTGTAGTGAGGGACCTGTGATAATGTAGTGTGTGTAATGAGGGACCTGTGATAATTTAGTGTGTGTAGTGAGGGACCTGTGATAATGTAGTGTGTGTAGTGAAGGACCTGTGATAATGTAGTGTGTGTAATGAGGGACCTGTGATAATGTAGTGTGTGTAGTGAGGGACCTGTGATAATGTAGTGTGTGTAATGAGGGACCTGTGATAATGTGTGTAGTGAGGGACCTGTGATAATGTAGTAGTGTGTGTAGTGAGGGACCTGTGATAATGCAGTGTGTGTAGTGAGGGACCTGTGATAATGTAGTGTGTGTAGTGAGGGACCTGTGATAATGTAGTGTGTGTAGTGAGGGACCTGTGATAATGTAGTGTGTGTAATGAGGGACCTGTGATAATGTGTGTAGTGAGGGACCTGTGATAATGTAGTGTGTGTAGTGAGGGACCTGTGATAATGTAGTGTGTGTAATGAGGGACCTGTGATAATGTAGTGTGTGTAGTGAGGGACCTGTGATAATGTAGTGTGTGTAGTGAGGGACCTGTGATAATGTAGTGTGTGTAGTGAGGGACCTGTGATAATGTAGTGTGTGTAGTGAGGGACCTGTGATAATGTAGTGTGTGTAATGAGGGACCTGCGATAATGTAGTGTGTGTAGTGAGGAACCTGTGATAATGTAGTGTGTGTAATGAGGGACCTGTGATAATGTAGTGTGTGTAGTGAGGGACCTGTGATAATGTAGTAGTGTGTGTAGTGAGGGACCTGTGATAATGCAGTGTGTGTAGTGAGGGACCTGTGATAATGTAGTGTGTGTAGTGAGGGACCTGTGATAATGTAGTAGTGTGTGTAGTGAGGGACCTGTGATAATGCAGTGTGTGTAGTGAGGGACCTGTGATAATGTAGTGTGTGTAGTGAGGAACCTGTGATAATGTAGTGTGTGTAATGAGGGACCTGTGATAATGTAGTGTGTGTAGTGAGGGACCTGTGATAATGTAGTGTGTGTAATGAGGGACCTGTGATAATGTGTGTAGTGAGGGACCTGTGATAATGTAGTAGTGTGTGTAGTGAGGGACCTGTGATAATGCAGTGTGTGTAGTGAGGGACCTGTGATAATGTAGTGTGTGTAGTGAGGGACCTGTGATAATGTAGTGTGTGTAGTGAGGGACCTGTGATAATGTAGTGTGTGTAATGAGGGACCTGTGATAATGTGTGTAGTGAGGGACCTGTGATAATGTAGTGTGTGTAGTGAGGGACCTGTGATAATGTAGTGTGTGTAATGAGGGACCTGTGATAATGTAGTGTGTGTAGTGAGGGACCTGTGATAATGTAGTGTGTGTATTGAGGGACCTGTGATAATGTAGTGTGTGTAGTGAGGGACCTGTGATAATGTAGTGTGTGTAGTGAGGGACCTGTGATAATGTAGTGTGTGTAGTGAGGGACCTGTGATAATGTAGTGTGTGTAGTGAAGGACCTGTGATAATGTAGTGTGTGTAATGAGGGACCTGCGATAATGTAGTGTGTGTAGTGAGGAACCTGTGATAATGTAGTGTGTGTAATGAGGGACCTGTGATAATGTAGTGTGTGTAGTGAGGGACCTGTGATAATGTAGTGTGTGTAATGAGGGACCTGTGATAATGTGTGTAGTGAGGGACCTGTGATAATGTAGTAGTGTGTGTAGTGAGGGACCTGTGATAATGCAGTGTGTGTAGTGAGGGACCTGTGATAATGCAGTGTGTGTAGTGAGGGACCTGTGATAATGTAGTGTGTGTAGTGAGGGACCTGTGATAATGTAGTAGTGTGTGTAGTGAGGGACCTGTGATAATGCAGTGTGTGTAGTGAGGGACCTGTGATAATGTAGTGTGTGTAGTGAGGGACCTGTGATAATGTAGTGTGTGTAGTGAGGGACCTGTGATAATGTAGTGTGTGTAGTGAGGGACCTGTGACAATGTAGTGTGTGTGATGAGGGACCTGTGATAATGTAGTGTGTGTAATGAGGGACCTGTGATAATGTAGTGTGTGTAGTGAGGGACCTGTGATAATGTAGTGTGTGTAGTGAGGGACCTGTGATAATGTAGTGTGTGTAATGAGGGACCTGTGATAATTTAGTGTGTGTAATGAGGGACCTGTGATGATGTAGTGTGTGTAGTGAGGGACCTGTGATAATGTAGTGTGTGTAATGAGGGACCTGTGATAATGTAGTGTGTGTAGTGAGGGACCTGTGATAATGTAGTGTGTGTAATGAGGGACCGATATGCAAAAAACACAAATAATATTTCATCTCGTTTCGTTGGAAGCTGTTGAAAACTATCAGTCTGGGGAGTCTCCGCTTGATGAAATAAATGGAATAAAACCGTGTTGAGTCTGGACAGATCCAAGACGCACTTGTTGTGATTATTGATCCGATGCTGAGTCTGCGACGCTATCTCTGTCGGTGATAATTTTGTAATGAGGCCCTTGACAAAACGAGCTGCGGTCACTGAGATAAAAAAGAAATATATTTACGAAACCGGATCACACTCTGAATTTGACTGAGCAAGAAATGTAAGCCTCTGAGATTCTGCGTGAGATTTCAGCCTGTGTGGCGTGACTGAATAGACCCGTTTTGCTGGCATGTAACCACGGCAACCGGATACTACTGAGACAAGGCCAGCGTTGTTCATAGCTTGGATTGTATTATTCTGTTATTTTGATGTTTCCTTCTGCTACCTGCATATGCTGTCTGTGTACAGTTTGCATGTTCTCCCCGTGTCTGCGTTGGTTTCCTCTGGGTGCTCCGGTTTGCCCTACCACTAAATACATACCCCCATTACATCCTCCCAGACCCCCTCTCCTGTCCCCTCTCTCTAGACCCAGGACTCCGGTGGAAAAGAAAATCTCAGTGGGACTTTCCTGGTTTTAAGAGATCACGTTATAAGAGCTGTCAGACTGTACAACGAACTTAATAATGTGCATCTTATTACTATTGTTGGTAACTTTTAGAATGATACATTTCTTATAGTTTATATGAATGGATGTGTTTCTGTACCTGAATTTCTCCTCCAAGTATCAAATAAGAATCTGTCTATCAATAAGAGTTGGCTCCACCTGCATGATAAAGCCAGATCTTGTCAGACCTCTGAAGCTAAGTAGGGCAGGCCCTGGTTTGTACTGTGATGGGAGACCTCTGGGAACACCAGGTGCCACAGTGAAACGTGTGTAAAGTGCCAAGCTGTTGTTATGTCCTTAGACAAGACACTTCACCCACATTGCCCAGAATGAATGTGGTGTGCGTGTGAATGGTTGGTGGTGGTCAGAATAGCCGATGTCACATAATGATTGCCTCTCTTCTGTCAGTGTGCCCCAGGGCAGCTGTAGCGAATGTAGTAGTTTATCACCACTGTGTATAGAGTGAATTAACAATGCTGTGAAGCGTCTCTGAGTGTGCTATATAAAATCAATGCATTACTTTTATTATTAACAAATATAAAAATAATCTTTTGGTCGCATCGCCCCACCCTGATGAGAATGTGTTGTGGGTGGGTTGGTCTCTCACCGTGGTGGTCTTGACCCGTCCTCCAGGCCGGGTGCAGGTCCAGCCCGAGTTGTTGATGAGAAGTCCACATCCCTCATGGTCCAGACACGGGGACATGTCGCACCACTGACGAGCTCTCACGATACGCACTGAGGAGAGAGGAGAGAGAGAGCTCAGGAAGGAGACGACCCGCATGTGGTTCTCTCCCTTTAACTTCAAGAGTGTTGTTCTATTGGTGATTAAGTTAAATCTTTTCAAGTCAATTCAATATTATTCTTCCACAGATTTAACACAGTGAGACGTCCAGGGGAAACTGAAACTTAAAATATTACTAATTAGTAGAGTAGAGCAGAGCAGAGGAGAGCAGATTACAGTAAAGTAGAGTAGGGCTGGTGGAAGCGGGGCCTATGGGGAGTTTTGCACATTATACAGGAGAGTTTACAGATGCCCTGAACAGTTATTGGTTTAGTAACTCTCTCTGGTCTCTCTCTTTGGTCTCTCTCTCTCTCTGGTCTCTCTATTTGGTCTCTGGTTTCATTCTCTGGTCTTTCTCTCTGGTCTCTCTCTCTTGTCTCTCCCTCTGGTCTCTCTGGTCTCTCTTTGGACTCTCCCTCTTATCTCTCCCTGGTCTCTCTCTCTTTGGTTTCTCTCTGGTATCCTTCTGCTCTCATTCTCTGTTCTCTCCCTCTGGTCTCTCTCTGGTCTCTCTCTCTGGTCTCTCTCTTTGGTCTCTCTCTGGTCTCTCTCTTGTCTCTCCCTCTGGTCTCTCTGGTCTCTCTCTGGTCTCTCTCTTTGGTCTCTCTCTGGTCTCTCTCTGGTCTCTCTCTCTTGTCTCTCCCTCTGGTCTCTCTGGTCTCTCTCTGGTCTCTCTCTGGTCTCTCTCTCTGGTCTCTCTCTCTGGTCTCTCTCTGGTCTCTCTCTCTTGTCTCTCCCTCTGGTCTCTCTGGTCTCTCTCTGGTCTCTCTCTCTTATCTCTCCCTGGTCTCTCTCTCTTTGGTTTCTCTCTGGTATCCCTCTGGTCTCTCTCTCTGGTCTCAGTTCAGAGGACTTTGGCGGTCTCCCTCAGTCCTGCTCCTGCCCCTCAGTGTCCTACCGCTGCATTTTACAGTGTACGCACGGCTTTTGACAGCTGCAGCAGACCTCAGACCTACAACCAACCGCTTTGATATCTCTGGTCTCTCTCACTTCATCAGTCGTGAGTTCAGGTGGTTAGGGAAGTCTATAAAGTGTGTGTGAGGAGTTTTAAACAGTAACTAACGGTAACTAAACTAAACGTGGATTTTTTTTCTCCCAGCACTGAATTCCCAGAGGACCCTCGGCAGATGTTGGACGCCAAGGTTCAATACACGATCGTTGTGTGCGGCTGCAACAAACTCAATGAAATCTGTCGTAAATGGAGCAACATCTGTCGGGTTTCAGGTCTATTCTATTTTCAAGACAAAAACACATTTAGAAGAGAAGCAGTGAGGAAGAATAGATCTCTCTGTGCAATTATGTCATTAAAGACTTTGTTTTGTTTATCTGAGAGCGCGACAGACACTAAAGGCAAGTGCTGTATTGAATTATGTTTTTTCGTGATTTTTCTTTATTATTTTTTACAGTGTACGTCTCATGGGTCCTCTGCGTGTGCGTCTGTGTAACATGACTCGTACCTTTAATTAATGTCAGAAGAAAACTTTGTGTTTGTATAAACCACAGTGACTCTCTCTGGTCTATCCTGCTCTCTCTGGTCTCTTTCTGGTCTCAATCTCTGGTCTATCCTTCTGGTCTCTCTCTGGTCTCTCTCTGGTCTCTCTCTGGTCTCTCTCTGGTCTCTCTCTGGTCTCTCTCTGGTCTCTCTCTGGTCTCTCTCTGGTCTCTCACTGGGTTCCAGATGGATCCAGATGGATCCAGTCACTTTCTAACTGGACTTGTTATCAACTCATTCACTGTCATGGACGTCGTTCGACGTCAATATAAATCCGTTGCCTGTACTGTATATCGTCTGTAGACGTCAATGACTTTTTTTTTGCGTTTTATCTTTCTGGGGCTTGTCAAGGCTCTTGTGCATCCTGTGTCAACATCTCAGACCTGTAAATGCTGTGGAGTGTTTTTATTGTAATCAAGTTGAATATTCTATGTGTATTGTGTGTACATGTTTAATTTGTTTAAAAATAATTATACATTAAAAATACAATTCTAAGTATTGTTTCTGTTTTGTGTCATTATAAGAAACTGTAATACATTGTAAAATATCAGAAAAGAAAAATAATAAACTTTTCTGCTTGAAAATGTGTGTTTCACAGAAAGGCTGTTTTCTCCATCTTAATCAGGAAACACACTTTTGTGTGAAAGTTACCCATGTTGTACTCTCAATTACTAAAACACTAAAAGGGGTAGAAACTTACTTTTTTTAATGAAAGGCAAGAGACAGAGCTTTCCTTTGGTATGTTTCATACGTGTGTCAACCAAGGGCTCACATTTATATGAGGTTATAAAAATCTCTGGCAGTATGAGGGATATCGCTGCTTTAATGTATAAAGCATTATACTCACACTGGCAGTGAATGAGTTAAGCCTTTCCTCCCTGTCCTTGTGTGTTTACTTTCCCCGGTTCTGGTGCTCGCTCTCTGGGGACCCGCCGCCTCTCGCTAACTCCACTCGGGTGATGAATGCTACGATTACAAGATGGCTGCCGCCGTTCGTGGATAAAATGGGGCGTGCGGAGCTGTGGACGCGGCCGATACATCAGAGCGCCCAGGTGTGCTCCGCTCTACGGCTCCGTGTGACGCTTTGTAAATGTGAACCGGCCTTTTTCTAATTTTAACCGCTCGATACAAGAGCAAAACGCTGTCTTTGCTCGCAGCTGATTGGCCGGAGAGGTGCGAGCGGCGGCTTACAGTACATCCAGTCGTTCCGTGACAGTTGTGAGAGTGTGTTTTTGTGTGTTCTCTGACAAACGAGATGAGTTTTGAGGAGCAAAAACATAGACATAGATCAACAGTTCAAACACAAAGAATAGAGAACACATAGACCTTGGTCCACAGGGGGTGTTGACCAAGTGTTGATAAATGTCCATAAATGTTACGGGTCTGGGACACAGTGACTAAGTAGAGCGACAGTGACACATGTGGTTCTATACTACACATTCTGACATTCACACAACGTACTGAAGGAGACACGGGACAAGGGCATGTTAATCATTGTCCCAAGAGGAAGCATGGGAATCGTTTGAAGTTTGGAGTTATTGGTTTACTATTTGCATGTAAACAGGAGATTTACTTTACATGCTGAATATTCCATTATTCTCTGTTGGTTCCCCCTGTCCTGCTGAAGTTGGGTCTTCTTCTTCCTATGAAACCGAGCTGCGTTTTGTCCTGGATCAGTTTTTGCTCTGGACGAGGCTGTGCTCTGTGCTCTGTCCTCTAAAAGGCATTTTCTCCTTGGACAGACGACCAGGTATAAAGAATGTCTGAACCGTGAGCGATTTTGTCCAGGTTCAACTGTAGTTTAAAATCAGCATTCACAGTCCTCATCCCCGTCCCTGCTCCTTGTAAAGAGAAAATAAGGAACTTCTAAAGTGAGTAGAGCAGGCGTGAGTGAGTGAATGGATGGTGTTGATTGGAGATGCACCAGTGTGTTCGGTGTCTTGCTTCATCACCGTGTGGAGAGAATGAAAAAAACATATCTGAACTCTGAACATTATAAAGCGCTTTGGGTGAATTTGGTTACTTACTTCATTAACCATTTTGAAAAATCGCAATCAGATATTTTTGCCTAAATCCTGCACCTGGCACTCACCGTCCACGCAGGCGGGCTGGGCTCTGGTCGTCCCGGCGATCTGGCCTCTCCGACAGGCGCAGCGGGCCGTCTGCCGGGCGATGGTGGTCCGCGGCTGGCTGCTGTCCCGGTCCAGGGTCACAACCTCACACGAACCTGCCGACAACTGGCCTGGACACAGGAAACACACACTCAGATCACCGACACTAACTGCAAAATGTACACGTTCTGTCGCTGAAGGCCAGACATAATAATTACCACGACTAACGACTTAATGTTCTAGAAATAATGAAAGAAACAATACATTTTGAAACAATACATTTTGAGAATCTATTTGTTATGTCTATCCATCTATCTATTAAAATTTCACATGGTATTAAAAACAAAAGTACATAAAACATAGTGCTGCTTATCTGATTGTTTGATATGTTTAAAGTCTGAAAAAATCCTCACACACACTTTATTCACTTTTCTAACCTCTTCAACTCACAACTGATGAAGTGAGAGAGACTAGATCTGGACTCTCTCACTTCTCTAGAGATATCAAACCTGTTGGTTGTAGGTCTGAGAATGCTGCTGCAGCTGTCAAAAGCCGTGCATACACTGTCAAATACAGCTGCAGAGGACACAGCGCTGAGGGGCAGGAGCAGGACTGGGAGAGAGCAGAGAGAGACCAGAGAGAGAGAGAGACCAGAGGAAGAGACCAGAGAAAGACCAGAGAGATACCAGAAGAGACCAGAGAGAGAGAGAGACCAGAGGAAGAGACCAGAGAAAGACCAGAGAGATACCAGAAGAGACCAGAGAGAGAGAGACCAGAGAGAGACCAGAGAGAGAGAGAGACCAGAGGAAGAGACCAGAGAAAGATCAGAGAAAGAGAGACCAGAAGAGACCAGAGAGAAACCAGAGAGAGACCAGAGAGAGACCAGAGAAAGACCAGAGAGAGAGAGAGACCAGAGAGAGACCAGAGGAAGAGACCAGAGAAAGACCAGAGAAAGAGAGACCAGAAGAGACCAGAGAGAGACCAGAGAGAGACCAGAGAGAGAGACCAGAGAAAGACCAGAGAAAGAGAGACCAGAGAAAGACCAGAGAAAGAGAGACCAGAAGAGACCAGAGAGAAACCAGAGAGAGAGCAGAGAGAGACCAGAGAGAGAGAGAGAGACCAGAGAGAGAGAGAGAGACCAGAGGAAGAGACCAGAGAAAGACCAGAGAGAGACCAGAAAAGACCAGAGAGAGAGAGAGACCAGAGAGAGAGAGAGAGACCAGAGGAAGAGACCAGAGAAAGACCAGAGAAAGAGAGACCAGAAGAGACCAGAGAGAAACCAGAGAGAGACCAGAGAGAGACCAGAGAGAGAGAGAGAGACCAGAGAGACACCAGAGAGAGAGACCAGAGAGAGACCAGAGAAAGAGAGACCAGAAGAGACCAGAGAGAAACCAGAGAGAGACCAGAGAGAGACCAGAGAGAGAGAGAGAGACCAGAGAGACACCAGAGAGAGAGACCAGAGAGAGACCAGAGAGAAAGACCAGAGAGAAACCAGAGAGAAACCAGAGAGAGACCAGAGAGAGACCAGAGAGAGACCAGAGGAAGAGACCAGAGAGAGACCAGAGAGAGACCGGACATCACAAAGCACAAAAGTTTTCTTCTGACCTATAATAAAAGTAACTGTCACGTTACACTAGCGGTTATGTGACATATTTGATGTTTTTAGAGCACACACACATGACACATGAGCGGCACACTGAAAAAAAACAAAAAAAAACGCACGCACAAAAGTCTGTGAAACAGCGAGGCCATGAAAGGTGCACTGTGTTATAGATACATTATATATACATTAGAATAGATACATCTCTGGCCTATAAACACACAGCCAACATAAACAAACATCATTCTTCTACATCCTATATTTAATAATGAGCCAAGTTCAAATCTCAAGTTTTCTTTCCAATCTCTCAAAAACTTACTCTCCAAAACATTTGTGCAGTTGGGCTTCATGTCCCGCTAAACCCTGACCTGGAAGAAACTCTGGAATGCTACAGTCTGTTTATCTACGGACAGAATCTGAGGCTGAAACTAAAATGTGTCGCCGTGGTAACAGAAGACACACCCCTCGAATACTAATGAGCCGTTTCAAGGAAAGTCCCGCTGCTCGCAAATCTGAGCGTGTTCGAAAGTTCACAAAGAAGAGAGGAAAGAAAAGGCCATCGGGGTTTTGTTTATATCGGGGACTATCCATGGAAACTTACTGATTATATTATTTTTTTATGTTTTTTATGACATTGCTTTTTGGTTTTACAGAGGTCCCTCACGATAACATGGTTCACTTTTCATGGTCTCGCTATTTCACTGACTTTTTGTGAGTGCGACAGTTTGTGCTTTTTTTCATGTGTTTCTCTTGCACCAGGTGTGCACTGCAACAACATCATAGAACCGCTGGTATAACACGACCTTTACTTAAAGTCAGAAGAAAACTTTTGTGGCTTGTGTGCACCGCTGTGATTGGTTCAGAGGAGAGACAGACTAGAGGGAGAGAGACTATAGAGAGAGACCAGAGAGAGAGAAACTATAGAGACCAGAGAGAGAGAAACTATAGAGACCAGAGAGAGAGAGACTATAGAGAGAGACCAGAGAGAGAGAGACTATAGAGAGAGACCAGAGAGAGAGAAACTATAGAGACCAGAGAGAGAGAGACTATAGAGAGAGACCAGAGAGAGAGAGAAACTAGAGCCAGAAACCAGAGAGAGAGAGAAACTAGAGCCAGAAACTAGACACGGAGACCAGAGAGAGACCTCAGAGAGACCAGAGAGAGACAAGAGCGAGACCAGAAAGAGAGATCAGAGAGAGAGACCAGAGAGAAAGAGAGACTAGAGAAAGACCAGAGAGAGAGATCAGAGAGACACCAGAGAGAGAGACCAGAGAGAGAGAGACTATAGAGAGAGACCAGAGAGAGAGAGAAACTAGAGCCAGAAACCAGAGAGAGAGAGAGAAACAAGAGACAGAAACTAGACACGGAGACCAGAGAGAGACAAGAGCGAGACCAGAAAGAGAGATCAGAGAGAGAGACCAGAGAGAAAGAGAGACTAGAGAAAGACCAGAGAGAGAGATCAGAGAGACACCAGAGAGAGATACCAGAGAGAGAGAGACTATAGAGAGAGACCAGAGAGAGAGAGAAACTAGAGCCAGAAACCAGAGAGAGAGAGAAACAAGAGACAGAAACTAGACACGGAGACCAGAGAGAGACCTCAGAGAGAGACCAGAGCGAGACCAGAAAGAGAGATCAGAGAGAGAGACCAGAGAGAGAGAGAGACTAGAGAGAGACCAGAGAGAGAGATCAGAGAGACAGGAGAGAGAGAGACCAGACAGCGACCAGAAAGAGACATCAGAGGGAGACCAGAGCGAGAGAGAGAAACTAGAGAGAGAGCAGAGCCAGAGCCCAGTAAGAGAGAGAGACCAGAGAAAAAAACTAGAAAGAAAGAGATCAGAATGATGCGACCATTAGTTGAGAGGACTACCGCAGTCTTCCCATAGTCCTCAGTTCTGCTCCTGGTGTCCAAACTTTACCAGGGTTAAATTTGGTCAACATTAAAAAGTTTGGACACCCCTACACGCTGCTAAGAGAATCAGCAGAAACATCCTCTCTTCTGTGTCTTCGATCCCTGCAGCTGTCAGCCTGTACAACGAACCCTGCTTCCTCCTGGTTTACAGGTTTCAGATCCTTTAAGGTTCATTTTCACTTTTTAGCACAATATGGTTCTGTCTATTGTCTCCGGTCATCATTTACCTACTGTACTTTGTGTTTTTTCCACGTATAAGCCGCAGGTTTTCATGTTGTAAGTGACGCTGAACCAACAGATGATGAAAACAAGCCGATAGATTTACACATAATCTCTACAGACATATGGAAGAATAGAAAAAAGAGAGAAAATAGCAAAAAACAAACAAACAACAACAAAACAAAGCAATCCATAAGAATTATTAAGATAAAAAAAGAAAAATAAGATAGACTGTTCACAACATGATTTAATGATGAGGTGTTTTAACTGTGTTGACTTATGTTTTCAAAATAATCAAAGTTATCACAATAAACATGTGCCAATTCTACCAAAACCTCAACATTAAAAAGTCCAAATAACGCTGCCCTGACAACAACGTGAATCTTATATAAAGTGTGTTTCCGTGCACTTCCTGGAGTGTCTCTGCTGTTCACATAAACACGGCGTGAAGGAGGAATGTGTGAAATACCGCATTATAGATTTGGAGACCTACAGCTGGGTCCACATGTGGTCCCTGCATTCCAAGGTGGTTCAAGGTTCAAGGGGACTTTATTTGTACCCATGGGTAGATATTTTTCTGCACTTAAAAACACATTGACTCCAGGGGGCGCTCTAACAAAACAAAACCATGTACATTTTCCACATCCCTCCGGAGAAGCAGCCTATAGTCCTACGATAAGCGTCTATAAAGATGAATGGGATTTGATAGGATTTGATTATAGAAGATGAGAACAGTCAGAGCAGGGTCTTTCTGAGCGGAGTTTGCATGTTCTGCCCGTGTCTGCGTATAGGTTTCCTCCAGGTGCTCCAGTTTCCGCTACCACTACAAACATGTGCAATAGTTAATATCCTCCAGCTCTGGTCCTGAACAAGCCGAGCATCAAGACCTGGAGATGGGATCTTGGGATGTTCGAGTACAAGGCAATTCAAAGTGCTTAACAAGACCAATTTAAAAACAGAGACAATTAAATATACAATTATTTCATCTTAAAACAGAGCGGCATAAAAATATGGGGTTTAAAACTCTCATTGAAATGTGGGTTAAAAAAGCAATAAATAGTATTAAATAGACTAATTTGTATACAGTCTTGACTGTCCGGCACCAGCAGGAGGCCAGTCCCTGTGCTCCTCAGAGTCCCAGCAGGAGGCCAGTCCCTGTGCTCCTCAGAGTCCCAGCAGGAGGCCAGTCCCTGTGCTCCTCAGAGTCCAAGCAGGAGGCCAGTCCCTGTGCTCCTCAGAATCCCAGCAGGAGGCCAGTCCCTGTGCTCCTCAGAATCCCAGCAGGAGGCCAGTCCCTGTGCTCCTCAGAGTCCCAGCAGGAGGCCAGTCCCTGTGCTCCTCAGAGTCCCAGCAGGAGGCCAGTCCCTGTGCTCCTTAGAGTGGAATGGCACTAACATGTCTTGGATGTTCTTTGGTGCGAGGCCATGGAGAGAGCCAGTACCCATCGTGCAATTAACAGTAAACCAGAGCTGCATGCGAAAGAAGCTGAGCAGACCGAGGTCTGGTTAGTTCTGTGATGGGAGACTGCTTGGAACACCAGGTGCTACACTTCTCAAAGTTGTTGATTTGCCAACAACAGATCAGAGAATCAACCAGTTCGACCACAGGAAATGCAATAACAACAAACACAGAGAGACATTGGTCCATAAGAGCCGCATGAACAATGTCTATAAATATGAACCGATTCCATAAATGCTGTTAAGTTTCCTGGATCATCACCGGTTGTTGAGGCTGCAAAGTGCCAAACTGCTGTTGTGTCCTCAGGCAAGACACCAGCAGCCTTCAGTGAGTCTGCCCCAGGACATCTGTGGCTACAGCTGACTTTAGTGCCACGTGAAGCGTCTTTGAGAATCCAAAATAAATCTTCATAAAACAGTCATAATCTTTATTAGTATTAGCATTACTGTCTGTACACCTCATATCTTTACAGATTAAAAACTATTCATTTGTATAATTAGCTCAAAAAGTCACTGTTTCATGTCTTTAAGTCACAACAACTGATTTTTTGTCCCAATTATCGATTTTTAATTAATTGTTTAGTGATTAAAAAAAAGTGCCATTTTAAGACTTTTTGAAAGACTTTTCCTTTGAGCAGTTTTTTTGAGAATCCAGTTTCAAAAATAAAAAAAACATGGTGAAGATTGGAGCCAGAAATTTAAAATGTAAATGATAAGAGTCAAAGATGAGAAGTGACAATTATATTTTTGCATTTTTATAATTTTTTTGGCAATTTTGGTAAAATACGTACACCTTTGATCCTTTTGATCGTCTCATATATTTACATAAGAAACATTGGATTTCTTTAGTGAGTATGTAGAAATAAATCCTTCTTGAAGCCTCCTGTATTGTTTATATTTATACACTAATATATTTATGATATATTTATTATTATACTGAAATACATAGTTATTCTCAAAACGTTCTTTATGATTTAATTAAGCCTTAAATTTGGTCAAAAAGTCACTATCTTCCACAGCCTCATAATCATAAAAACTGTGTGTTTTTTTCTTATTATTAATTTGAAATGTAAAGGGATTCACGGATTTGTGTTTCTCATGCGTCGTGTCTTCAACATCATTCACAAAATCATAAAACCGCTATTTACACATGACAGTTTCTTTTATCGAACAGAAGAAAACTTTTGTGGCTGCACCGTGGTCTTTCCATAATCTTGAGTCCTGCTCCTGCCTCTCTCTCTCTCTCTCCTCTGCAGCTGCATTTTTACAGTGTACGCACGGCTTTTGACAGCTGCAGTAGCGCTCAGACCTACAACCAACAGTCTTGACATCTCTGGTCTCTCTCACTTCATCCGTCGTGAGTTCAGGTGGTTAGAGAAGTCTATAAAGTCTGTGTGAAGAGTTTTACCGCCTGAAAACACACAGCTGCTTCTTCAAGGATTCCTCTTTTATATATTATTTTGCTTTTAGAAGAACATAACGGCCGCGATAAATGAGAGACCAAATAATAAATTCAATGCGCATGGGCATGAACCTGTGTCTTTTATTGCACACGTCACCTCTTTGCACCTTCTCAGAAAATGCAAATGCAAATCTAGAAGTTAAAGACGGAGAATAAACTGGTCTATTCACCCGGTGGTGTCATTGGTAAAGGCCATCATAGGTATCATGTCCATATTTGAAGACATGTGCCCCCTTGTGGACATTTTTTTCTTTTTTTCAATCGTTACATTTCCTGGGTATAAGTAATGTTTTTTTACAAAGCGCATTTTACAGACAGAGGTGGCTCTCATAGCGCTTTACATTGTTTAACTGTTTGATTCTCTGATCTGTGGGGGTGAATCGACAACTTTGTAACATCTTCCATGAGAGCTACTGTTGTGATTTAGAGCAACACAAACATAAATTGAATGGAATTAAACGTAATATCACATTTGAGTCTATTTTTTTCCTGCTGTTATTGTTGGTAAATAATATGTACAGTATATCAATAGAATACGTGTTGCAAACTTTTTACCATGACCATATTTGGAGATACAAGTCGACCCAAAACATTTAACATATTTTTTTTATTTTTTTATTAATACCATTGCAATAACTTTGAATGAATGAATGTCAGTTTTCAAGTCTAGGCTGAAAACAGTTCTGTTTAGCTGTGCCTAAACTGAATTATTGTATCTTTGATTTTATCTTTAATCTTTTTAATGCACTATGGATATTTATGAATGTTTTATGGTTTTTAACTACTTGTGTGACTTTATTTTTTATGTTATTAACATATCTTAATGTGTTTATTTTAATGTATATGTAGATTCTATTGTTTGATGATGTGCATGATGTGATGTTGTGAGGCGCTTTGTGTTGCCTTGTGGCGCTCTACAAATAAAAGTTGATTGATTGATTGAGGTTTTTATTTGGATATTTGAAATGAGAAAAAACAAAACAAAAGAACTGTAATTATACATTGATTAAGCGAAATAAATAAACAATCGATGTCCAAAAAAGGAGTTGGAAGAAGTTTTTAAAAAATTGTGTAATCCGCATATACTTACATCTCTGATTTTACAAAATAAGTATCTTCCTTTACCAAATGCAACCGAGCGCTTGGAAGTTTTAACATGCTTCACGAAAATATTTATCGAATTGTTAACTCGAATATTGTTTGACATTTTTTAAGTTCCTCTTCCAATTTTTTCCATTTTTTACTCCACTACAGTAACACAAAAGCTTTTTTATTTTCAACTCTACATTATAACATTGTCAATATAATCTTAAAAACTTACCTATAGACACTGTTTAAATCATTGACTTTGATCTCGCTTCCCACGTATGTATAAAACTATATTATCCAGTACCTTCTCGGAGCAGGTCCCCGTGCAGCAGCAGCAGCAGCAGCAGGACGCAGACCCCTGATGCGGCCAGACCCCACAGCGGGCGCACGCACAGCATCAGGACCCGCCACGGCTCCTCGCCCGTCCCCCGGCTACAAGTCCTGGAGAAGGCTGCAGGCGAGAACCATGCGAGAACCACCCGCCAGAAACAAACTAAAAAATAACAAAATAAAAACGTAATGAAATCCAAAAGTGTGTGGTTTATGTTGAAGTTTGAGTCATTGGCGACGTGGATCCTTGTGCGTAAATCCCATCGCGCGCGGTCGGAGAGTCGGGGGCAGCTGGAGCGGCTGTCCGGGCATGGTGAAGCGCGGGGCGGGTGGGTGGTCTCTTGGTGGTCGCTGGAGGAGGAGAGAGATGCTCGAGGAGAGAGATGCTCGAGGAGAGAGATCGCGGGAGGAGAGAGATGTTGTCTGCGCGAGTGAAAGGGAGTGAATGAGAAACTCCAATGCTCTGCTCCTGACGCGCGCGCTCTCTGTCTCTCTCTCTTTCTCTCTCTCACTCTCTCTCTGTCTATCTCTTTCTCTGTCTATCTCTCTCTCTCTCTCTTTCTTTCTCTCTCTCTCACTCTCTCTCTGTCTATCTCTTTCTCTCTCTTTTTTCTTTCTCTCTCTCTCCCACTGAAAAGATAAAATATAGATAAATACTGTATTCATCCCAAAGGAAATATTGCATTAGTCCCTTGCTCGCACAGACACAGCAGAATCATCGAGAAGTGAAAAAAACACATCATTAAAAAATACATGAGAAGTTAAGACACTTTAAGTCTATCCTTAGAAAATAATGTGCATGAGGGATCTGTGTGAGCGATAAAAAAAACACACACACACACAAAGACACTTACACACATATACACACATTTATGATTTAAGTTTAATGATGAAATTGTCATTATTATTTAAAGTGGTGTTTGCTGCGCACTCAGAAGCTGCAATTGTTACATTTGTCCACCAGATGGCAGTGTTACGACCTACTATGAGCTCAGAGGCGCCGACACATTTGATACAATCTGTGAAAGATGGTTTCATAAAACCGAGTCACAATAACAAAATCCTATACGTTGTCTGCTCAGTTTCATGTTCAGTCTCAAACACAGAATCAGATTTGTGTTGATGGTGGGAGCGTGGGTGGGTCCTCGTTTTCTGATGTGACATGCAACCACACTTTTGACATGTTTTAACTTTAGCCTCGTAAACACACACTGAAATGTATCTGCAACGGAGCTCTAAATTATTGCATGTGCAGTTACTGTAAACAATTGCTACTTCACAAAACTGCAAAAAACAGTTAAAAGACTGTAAAATAAATAGACAGTGAAATGTTGGGTCATAAAGAATATTAGCAAATCAGTCAAATACAATTAAATATTGGCCCGACATCCATAACACTAGCCAGGCCCTGCCCTGCTTAGCGACAGAGGTCTGACGTGATCTGGCTTTCACCTGCAGATGGAAGAATGAGCAATTAAATCCCATCCCTCATTATTGTTATTGTTTTTAAAGGAGACATGTATTCATATAAATATTCATCATCTATTGTTCTTGGTGTTTGGATTTTAGTTTGACCCAATTTTGAGCTCAAAATGATCCCTAAAAGAGCAAAGATACACGTATATGTTTCTTTCTTTTTGCTTTGACAGATCATAGCTGCACCAACTCACTTCATGGAATTTTCAAATGTGAGCGCTGCCCCCCCCCCCCCCCCCCCCCCCCCCCCCCCCTAGAATGATAGAACCAGGAAGCGCTGAGGAACGAGACTTCCTTCTGGCTGTTTCGCTGAGTAAGCAGAAACCGGTAACAAAGACACAGGAAGTTTCAGGTAAGCCTCCGCCGCTTGTTTACCTCCGCTGTCTGTGCTGACAAGAGACCTGTGGCTTTTCTCAAGAAAGTGGGGGCCAGTGGTCCGCTGTGATTGGTCACAATCTGGTCCTGAAATAAACTCTCTTCCTTGTAGCACGAAAACTCGATCTAAAATAGAATGACGCGCCAGCACAAATCTACGCTACTTTTTCTTCAAAAGGACGTATGTCCCAATGCACTGCATGGATATGGATTGCATTTTCGTAATGCTCCCATCTCTGTGTGGAGTAAGAAACAAATGCCCAAAATGAACAATTGTAAACCGCTTTGAGACTCAGCTCTGCAGTGAAAAGGCGGAATATAAATAAAGATTACTTACTTACTTACTACTACTAATGAATACAAAAATAAAGTGAGGTAATGCAGCTTTAAGTCCTGGACAAGTCCTTATTCTAACTTCCTGTGAACGCCTTCCCATGTTCATAAACTCTACAATAAAACAGAGCACAAAGACCCACAGGAAACATCAAAACCTTATTAACAACTTTGTACCAGGTAAAAGAAACAGTATTAACTCTACTCTCTGGGTGTGGAGTGTGCCGTAAACCCAGAACTAAGCCATTGGTCAATTTTAATTCACCACAATAACCCGGGATAAAGTAGTGTCTCTTGTTTTATCACCATGGAAACCAATAGTTACTTCAGCTCGTAATCCAGAGTGGTTTACTTTAGGTCGACTCTATCGGAAAGTCATCAATTCTGGTCACTTTTATGGAGCCGCCGATGAATTTCATTTTGACTGTCGAGCTGGATCCAATAGTATTGAGCCGTGTGTGTTTAGGGCACGAGTTTAGGATTAACTTAGCCGTAAATTAAGTCTGAAGCGGTCGTTTAGCATGATTTGGACTTTTACGGGATTTTGAGTTTAGCTGAGTAAGAACAATTAAGTCCTGTTTACCTGCCACCAGAAAGAGAGAGATGAGAGAGAGAGGGACCAGAGAGACCAGAAAGAGAGAGATGAGAGAGAGGGACCAGAGAGACCAGAAAGAGAGAGATGAGAGAGAGGGACCAGAGAGAGAGACCAGAGAGAGAGGGACCAGAGAGAGAGAGACCAGAGAGAGGGACCAGAGAGAGAGAGACCAGAGAGAGAGGGACCAGAGAGAGAGAGACCAGAGAGAGGGACCAGAGAGAGAGAGACAGAGATGAGAGAGCGGGACCAGAGAGACCAGAAAGAGAGAGATGAGAGAGAGGGACCAGAGAGAGAGACCAGAGAGAGAGACCAGAGAGAGGGACCAGAGAGAGAGAGACCAGAAAGAGAGAGATGAGAGAGAGATGAGCATAAAGCGACCAGAAAGAAAAAGAGCGACAGAGAGACATAGACCAGAGAGAGGTCAGAGAGATGGAGATGAGAGAAAGAGTGACCAGATAGAAAGAAACCACAGAGACCAGTGACGGACTAGAGAGAGAGATCAGAGAGAGATCAGAGAGAGACCAGAGAGAGGGACCAGAGAGTGATCTGTATTGATCACAGCTGTCCAAACAAGCCACAATACCGTAAATAAAGGTAACATATGACACTAGGAGGTATTTGATATTGTACATGATGTTGTTGCAGCACACACACACACACACAGGCACACACACAGGCACACACACACACAGGCACACACACACAGGCACACACAGACAGTTCACTTACAGTTCACTTGACTGGACTTTAGCTGCAGATGAGACGCTTCAGTTACTCTGAGTTTAACACAAAAGAGATTAGACTTTAAAGCTTGGGCACCTGACTTTCAACCTCCCCCAGAAACGACACCATGTAATGAATCCAGACGATCTCATTCCTACCTTTCACAAGTGTTTATAGCAGTCTAGTCTCCACAAGCAAACATGTTTGGCCTCTGACACATCTTTTTCTGCCTTTTTTATCTTGTGTCTCTGTGTTTTTGCGGATCACTGGTGTGCCGTTTGCAAATTAAGTTCCTCACAAATAAATAAATGTTATTGAATTTGACAGAAAAATCTAATCTTGGCGAGAGGACCACACTCACGGCAATAAAATCCGGCCAATTAAATGTCCGTATTAAATTCATGTACCTGACGCTTTGCAGAAGATCAAAGGTTTTCTTTCTTACGTAAAAAATTCTGTGGTCAACTTTAACTAATCAGTTTGGACTCCAGGAAATTCAGATCAGATCTTTGAAGCATGCATTATTAAGTCACTCCACACACAATGGTGATAAACTACTGCTGTAGCCACAGCTGCCCCGGGATCATAGACATATATATGTCTATGCCCGGGATGGACAGACAGGAGCGAGGCAACCAATATGTCCCATCGGCCCCTACGACACCTCATTCCAGGCAATGTGTCTTGCCTAAAGACACAACAACAGTTTGGTACTTTACAGCCACAGCCGCCCCACTGTGGCACCTGGTGTTTGCGGAGGTCTCCCATCGAAGGACTAACTAGACCCTGCCCTGGTTTAAGTTTTCATTGCAGTTCTTTGTTTATATTTTCATGCCATGATTTTTTTAATCATTTAATCTTGTTAATTCATAATCATACAATAGTTGAGCAAAGTGGACGTCATACAGTTATCTATAGGGTAACAGCGCCCTCTTCTGGCACCAGGGAGACATTACGTGATACATGTTCATTCCAATCCTCCCGAATTACGGAGCTTCATTCTCCACCTAACTTTTAGAAAAAATGTGGTTAGTGCACGATGACAGCACCCCTCCATCTTTGTTCCATGTAAATAAAACAGCCTGCCTTTGAAACCACGGGATTAATATTACTGCCTGTTATCACTCATGCGGGAGAGCTTAGTGATGCGTTCAAGTGCGGTGTCAAACGTAGGACATGGTAAAACTTTATCAAAACAACACCAAACCGCGAGGTATGAAAAAAAAAAAACATATGCTACGCTAACAGACAGACAATAACATAAAGTACAGATGAGGTATATACCTCGTACAACACTGGTTTTAAGTTGAGGGCAGAAAAACTACACTATAGTATTGTTAAAAGGCTGTGTTGATTACAACGTGAATATGTCCATGTATTTTAGTGGCTATTGACAAAGCCACAATGCACCATGTTTGCGTGTCAAAACTGGAAATCTCTCTCTTGTCCCTCTCGTTATGTGAGAAAACACTGGCTTTTTCCTTTTTAACCTTAATTTCCCCCACGGTCACTCTGGCTCCTCAAAGCGCCACTAGCCTCCTCCTACTTCCTGCAGCAGAATCCGCTATTTGTGGGTCAAAAACGCAGCCGTAGCCCGTTACTCGCTGCCACCAGTGAGACCCAGACTTTATTATCTATTCCCCACCGTCTGGACCTGATCTGGACTTGTAGACTAATCATGTCCGTGCAGAGGTAACCTTCCCCCGGGCTGCTGCTGCTGCTGCTGCTGCTGCGGTCGCCTCCTCCGGGTGAGGATGGAGAAGAGGCCAGGCAGGCTGCTGCTCTTGTCCGACTTAAGCGTCAGAAACACGGCATACGAAGTGAGCTTGAGTCGGTCCTTGCTCACATGGAAAAAACGGCTTCCCAGTCCCGTGTATCACCCGTTCAAACCAAGTAAGGCCCTGTTGATGTTTAGCCAAGTATTTCTCTTTGTTGTCATTGACTTTTGTGTATATATATTTTTTTTTTGCATAACCTTTAAAGGCCACACTGACGTAGATTTGCACCAATGTTCTGTATGAGCTGAGATGCAAAAAAAAAAAAAAAGTGCTGATAAAACAGTTCACATCCCCTTTACATAATCTAGGTCATTTTAAGCAGAAACAACAGGCTACTAATTTATGGAAGTGGTAAATGTAATGAATGCGTGTATTCTATAGTACACAAGGATGAATATATAGACTTTTTGTCAACGAGATTTTTCCATTTAAAGCTGGGGTACCTAACTTCTTTCATAAATAGTGTTTCATAGAAGTTGGTTATGAGGAGGTCAGCTACTTACACAAGCCCCGTTTCCACCAGCCCTACTTCAGGCGCTACTCCACTTTCTACACTTTAGTATCTGGTACCGTATCCAAGCAACCTACCCACAACCAACTAGTACCCAGAGAAATTAATTGGGAATTCATCTCTGTCAGAAAGAACACTCCAGTACCAGCTGGATAGAACCAAGGCCAAGCAGACACTAAAATATTTCCTGGTACTGGTTAAACAGGGCCGGGGGAAATGCTTCCAATTGGGGTAGACTAGGGTAGGGTAGGGTAAAGAAGAGCCAAAGTACGGCTGGTGGAAATAGGGCGATATGACGAACATGGTCAAGTCGACAGTTGGGTTTTGGGAAAAAACACAACGAAACAGAAAAAAACTCAATCAATCAATCAATCAACTTTATTTGTATGGCGTCTTTCCAACACAAGGCCACTCAAAGCGCCTCACAACCCACATAATATCAGACAAATCAGAAACATCAACAACTACATATACAAACAATAAATACATTAAAAACAGAATAAAATCACAAGTAATGAAAAAAACCTTAAAACATTAAAAGCACACACGGGATTAAAATAATAAATAACCACAATGCATTAAAAAAAAGAGTATGTATCAATAAAATCCTTCAGCCGTATGCACAGCTAAAAAGAACAGTTTTTAACCCTGATTTGAAAATTGCCAGAGTAGATGCTAGCCTCACATCTTCAGGAAGATTGTTCCAGATTTTAGCTCCATAAATCTCAAACGCTGCCTCCCCATGTTTAGTTCTGACTCTTGGAACCAGTAAGAGGCTACCTCCTGTGCTCCTCAGAGTCCGGGCCGGTTCATATGGCACTAACAAGTCGCTTAAGTACTTTGGTGCGAGGCCATGGAGAGACTTGTACACAAGCAGTGCTGCTTTGAAGTCAATTCTCTGAGCCACAGGAAGCCAGTGCAGAGACCTGAGAACTGGACTAATGTGGTCATATTTCCTGGTCCTGGTCAGGACTCGAGCTGCAGCATTTTGGACATACTGCAGTTGTTTTACAGCCTGTTTGGAGAGACCTGTGAGCAGGCCATTGCAGTAGTCTAACCTACTGGAGACAAATGCATGGATAAGAATCTCCAGATTTGATTTAGACACTATGTTTCTAATTTTGGCAATGTTTTTCAGATGGTAAAATGCTGCTGATGTTATTGATTTGATATGACTGTTAAAATTTAAGTCTGAGTCCATTATAACTCCTAGGTTTCTGACCTTGCCTACAGGTTCCAGGGAGAGAGACTGGAGGTCAATACCATTATTGCTACCACAGCAATTATTTATATTTATATATATATATTTATATATATATATATATATATATATATATATATATATATATATTTTTTTTTATTTTTTTAAACAATACCTTTTTATTGTTTTACTTAAAATACAGTAAGGTTTTATACACGCACACTACACATCATTTAACGTTTATGAAGAAATGTCTAATTTTGTCTTGTTTACATTTGGCAACTTTTGTAAATTAAATATTGTTTGACTCAACAACTAAACTTTTGGAAAGTAAATTATTGAGCAATGTGAATGAATCAGACATCATGCCGTCTTCATCTGATAAACAGGTTTTCTCTTGTGTGAGAATGAGCCCTGTGAGTCACTATTTGACGCTTTGGGCTGAGAGCTGATTGGCCGAGTGAGGGTAGTCTTCTATTCTTCACTTTTCCATCCGAACAAGCTGATCTAAAGACGTGACAAAGTCCAAACAAACATGTGAAAACTAGTTACATGGTTAAGTAATTGTTGGTGGTTTGAAAGTTAAGTACCCCAGCTTTAAAAGTCCATGTTACTCTTCGTAGGCGCCTGCTTATCTCTGTTGGTATGTGTCCCATTGCATTTCACTTATGCCTTTTTGCATCTAGTCCAGGCATGTCCAAACTAAGGCCCATGAGCCAATCGCGGCCCTCTCTGTCACTGTATCTGTCCCTCTGTCGTTGCTAACACAAAGTTCACAGTGTCATCCAGCCAACTTCAGCTCTACCATTATGCACATGTTATGGATAGGGTTGGAAAGCTCAGAGCATCCAGGGGTGTCCAACCTGCGGCTCGCCACCCACACATGATCCTGAATGATTCACTTTTGACTCATTCCACATCTATTTTAACTATAAATCTTTCCGTGAATGCTGGGAGACTGTACAGTATAATGGTATCTTATGCATGTGTGTTCTCGGAGTTTCCATAGTTATTATATAGACCACAATTTATATTCCTACTGCTAAAAGGAGTAGCTCTCTACCGTTTCAGTTTCATAAAATTAGCGCCGCCTGATCTAGAATCTCGCTTAATTTGTATTCAATTAAATTCAATACTTTATTTCAGACACAAGAGTATAAGGTCCATATCAGAAAGAAAAGTATTTTTAAAAAAAATCTCCTGCATAGGGTCAATATATTTATTATACATATACATATATATATATATATATATATATAATGTATATATATTTAGCCAGTGAGTCCATATACTGGAGAAATATCGCACTGAGCTTAGACCTGGGTTGGACAATGCAGCAATACAATTTGTATAAAAGTGAGTATTTATTTATTTTAATTTTATTTAATTTTTTAATTTGAATTTAGGACAGTACATATTCATCATTGTGTCAACATTAATATGCTGGAATTCACCCAACAGCTAAATTGCATCCATTGTCCTAAGGCAGGTGGAAATATACAAACACACAGTCACTAGGCAACAGTAAAAACAATAACTTGCACTCCGTAAAGAATTACAAAGTCAAAGAGAAAGTCCAAGGAAAAGCAGAACTGGACTGGTTTGATTTCAACCAATTTATCAGGACTCCTTTAGATGTTTCGTATTTGTTCCGGCAAAGTGTTCTGTAATGTTGTGCCTCTGATGGACGCCACCTAATGGTCGAATTTAGTCCTGCGCCTTCGTACATTACAGTCTGCCCTGGTATGTGCTCTGGTTCTGACTCCACTGTTGATTTCTTTTTGGTTTTTTTATATAACATCCATTAAAGGAGGAGCAAGTCCCTTTTGGAAAACTGATATTTCAAACTTATAATATTCTTACAGCATAACAAAACAAACCAGAGACAGACTTTCAATTTGGAGAAAACAAATATGGTGCTAATGTAGTCCGTGAGATGGTTTAACGATTGTCATCCAACCTGCTTCACCTTACCCGAACGTCTATCAGTCCACTCGAATCCTGGTCGGAACAGGGTCTTTCTGAGTTTGTATGTTCTCCCTGTGTCTGCGTAGGTTTCCTCCGGGTGCTCCAGTTTCCCTACCACTAAAAACATGTACAGTAGGTCTAACATGTGCCTCCTGTACTGGCGACCTCGCTCAAAAATAACAATTGTAAACTGCTTTGTGACTCTGGTCTGTGAAAGGCGCTATATTAATAAAGATTACTTACTTACTTACTTAGTACCAGCAAGGAAACTATAAGTGCTCAACAAAACCAGAAAAATAACCATTAAAGTCACACACAAGGCATGCAATTCATAAACAGTCACAGTACAAACCACAGTATTAAAGGAGAGTGAAGATACAGTCCTTCAGTTGTACTGGATTTGAACTCTGACAGAGTAGAAGCCTGTCTCACATTTTCAGGAAATTGTTCCCAATTTGAAACGCTGCCTCAACATGCTTCGTCCTGACATGTCATACCTCATTTTAAAGCTCAGAACAGCCCAGATCCAGTCCATACGCTTTTACAATCTGAGTTGTCGGGTTGGAACTAACGCGGTCCTCTTGCTGTAAGGTTTTGGACACCCCTGATCTTTGATAACTTGCACTTTTTAGACTGTTTTAGTGAAATATATAACCACAAATATATTTAAAAACACAAGATAAATATACTTTGGGCTAATTTGATTCATCATTTACGGTCCAGAAGACGTACAACTATACTCAGGATTGGAACATAACCAGTGAAGCAAACGCTAACCTCAGAGATGATCTGGTGTATATTACTGAAGCTAAGCAGGGCAGGGCCTGGTTAGTACTGTGATGGGAGACCTCTGGGAACATCAGGTGACACAGTGGGGCAGTTGCGGCGGTGAAGTGCCAAACTGTCATTCTGTCCTTAAGACACTTCACCCACATTGTTGAGTATAAGTCTGGTGTTTGTGTGAATGGTTGGTGGTGGGTCGGAGGGGCCGATGGCACAGACTGGTTGCCTTGTTTCTGTCAGTCTGCCCCAGGGCTCTCTATGTGTATTGTGTACATGTATGTATTGTATGTTAATGTGTGTGTGTGTGTGTGTATGTATAGATATTCTTTTTTTTTTATCTCTTTGTGATTATATATTATATTATGATTATTCTAATTTACTTCTCTATTCTATCTTATATTTGAAATTTGGTTTTGAATAAGATATCTTTGTTTTTGTTTACTGAAAAAAAGTTATAGTTAATGATATATATTACGGATTCTCTTGAAGGCGCCGGTGACTCTGCTCTGAACAAGGAGATAAAGCAAATGTCTCTTGTTTGTGTTGAAAGGAGGTTTATCTGAACTACTGCACAGTGAGAGATAAGTCTGAAGTCCTGTGAAAGATGAGATGTGGAGTCACCGGCGGATTTTTGGACCTGCTGAAATAAAAG